CAGCTGCCTCTTGCACAACCCCTACTGGGGATGTGCCCTCAACCAAGGTACATGCCCCTGACTGGAATCGAACCCAGGACCCTTGAGTCCGCAGGCTGATGCTCTATCCACTGAGCCAAACCGGCTAGGGCTGAGCCCTTGATTATTACAACTCTACTTCCTCTCTATGGATAATAATACTTTTTCCCCTTTTTCCAGGGACCAGAGCATCATGTGGTGAGAGGAACAATGGACTGGGAATCTGGAAATCCAATTTCTCATGTGACTCTGCTACTCCCTAGCTGAGTGACGTCCTTTTTCTGGTCTTGGTTCTCCCACGTACATAGTGAAAGGAGGTTGGAACTGATGACATCTAAGACTCTTCTTCTATTTGCATTCTGAGTTATTGTATTAATAGAAACCTTACATCTGGTGCTAGAATGGACAGCTGGTGCGCAGCCAGATGGCCTTTTCCAGTTGATACAAAAGTCATCACCATTCTGTCTTTATCACTATACCTTGAGATAGCAACAGAGAACCAAACATTCCTAGACCCCAAGATTTTCTTTCCAATGGCCTCATTTTCTGTATGGTTTCAAGGTCAATGAACCCTGGTTTATAGTATTATATAATATGGCAGTTTACTGCCAATGTAACTTTGGACAATGAGCAATGACTGAGCTATTCTGGCTAAGGAGTTAATCTAATCCAGCATGATGGAGATTAAAACTAGCATTGCTTTCTTTATACAGATCCTGGGCACATTGGAGATTTGGCAGGTGGGCCAATACCAGTGTCATGGGGGCTCTACAGGAGGGCTCTCAGGCTCTGTCCAAAGCAAGAGGAGACTGGTTCACATCTGTGCACCACTTAAGAAGCAGTTGAAGCTCGAAAAGCTCTACTCTAGAGAGACAGAAATCTTAGTGTAGGAATCACTTTTTCCAACTTTAGCATTTCACTCCCTAGATTGGAGAAATGTGGGACAAAAGCCATCGACAATGAACTGATTCTTGAATTGCATCTGTACAGTGACCCTGATTCTACTGGAAGTGAAGAAAGCATCCGGGTTGCATCTCTCCCATCTAGCCTCTATGCTCAGGCCACTCCCATGATGAGGCAAATCCTTCCTTGTATTGTAATAGTGAAGTGATGCATTGCTGCTGCTTAACTATTTGGTGTGGCCGCATGACCATGCAGCCTCACTTCTGGTTCCTCAGGCTGGTAGGAGGCTTTGCAAACCTGAGCTCAAAGAATCTGTCACAGGGGAGAGCGTGACACCAGAAGGACTCTTCCCCTGGTCTGAACACACATCTTCAGATGTCAAGGTGAAGGTTCTTTCCCATGCTGTCATTTGTTCAGATCCCAGTTGCGCTAACTTCTCCAGGCAGTTGGTACCCGAGATAATACCAGTTTTATTTCCAATAAACCGGGTAAGAAATTCAAATGGTGTTTTCATTCTTATTATTGTATTTACATTTTCAAATGGAAATAGGGAAGATAAAGAAAGGTAGGTCTTATGACAAACCTAGAATCCAGAATTTGAATATGTAAGGCAGATTTTCAATGCTTTAAACCCAAATTGGTCTGACTCCAAAATTATCAGCATTAGTTTTCAACTATGTGTTTGTTCTTCTACAGAAAACTAACCCTGAGGTACACCTGGATAAAGGACAAGTGTTTGAAGAAAAGATGGGACTGAAATAAAGACTAAGGAGCAGGGCCCAGGGATGCAGAGGCGGAGCAGATGTCTTCCAGGGCCTTGAGAAAGGCTTTCTGGGCCTCTGCACAGCCCTCACTTGGCCTCACTGCCTTGTCTCTGTGGCCCTAAACATCCTTTGAGGTGAATCGCTGACCACTGCAAAAGTGCAACCAATCCTGACAGCTGTGGAGTGAGGCCAATTTGGGTTTAAATCCTGTCTCTATGGCTTGCCAGCTAAGTGTTCTTCAAGTACTCTCAGTTTGTCATTGAGAACGTGGGCGAAACACTGAGTTTATAGGATAACTAAAGGATTTGAGTCATGTGTCTAGTGCCTGGGTCAAAGTAAACATGCGACCCTGGCAACTGCTGCTCTGGTGGTTCCACACCCCCTACCTTCTACGTGGATGTTTTCCAAGTACATTAAAGCTGAGGTCAGATTTTGGTGGATGAGGGAGTGAGGAGTTGAGATGGGTGAGATGGGGGGAGTGGTGCTGAGAGAGGGAGGTCATTAGGGTGTGGGGCACTGAGCAGGGCAAATGGGAGAGATCCAAAGCCAAGCTCTGTGGCAAGGTCCAAGGGCAAAGGATCAGTCTACAAGGGCAATGGAAAGTCACCACTGTTCACGCAACAGGTGTTGTTGGGAGCCGGCCATGGGCTAGGCTCTGTTTTCAGAGAGAAAGGTAAACACCAGCTCTGCCTTCACAAAGCTTGTGCTCCAGTGGGACTCTGAATATTCTCTGTGCTAGTCTAAAGTTAAATCAGTAAACACATGAACAAAATGAATAAATATATATTTAAATCCTCGCTGATTCGGAGAAGAAAACATTTGGAACAAATAGGTGATCATCTCTTTCATCTCAGGAATACCGTTCCTTCTGGTCTTGAAAAGACAGAATTCAAGAATTAGAGAGAATTGAACTTGAATTCTGACTCTGCTCCTCTCTACCAGGATGACTTTGGACAAGACAGTCACCTTCCCTGAATCAGTTATTATTTTTTAATG